AAAAAAGGCGAAGGGGTCCCTAACTTGATATACCGTTATGTGCTTTATAATACATTGTAACATGCTATGATACGCCATAATGTATGATAAATGGCCGATTACTAGCATCGGCATCATTGCTGTATGGCATGTACTTGGTTTACGACTGGCCAGTACGAATCTGATCAGTAGAGTGCGATTCTAACAAGGTCTGGGCCAGTCTACCTTCCATGGGGCTCATCGTGATGATGTCCGTGCTGCGGCTGGAAGAGTTTCCCGCAGACTTACCTACCCTATCTATCCTTTCTCAGTAAGAGCTTCAGGAGAGAGTTTCTGACAGTTGCCACATTGCATAGGCTGAGCCTGCTTGTGTGGAACAAGCCAGCGTATTTCACGAGTCCGTGTCGTCCGGCAGCCTTGTATCAAATGCTGCTTGTCGAGTGCGAGTGTTGCGAGCATCGACGGCTGGGAAGCCTGTGAGGACTATCAGCCGGTGCTTAGAGTGCCACAGGGCCATTGCAAAGCTGATTGAATGGAAAGCTTGGCGCCTTCAAGACAGCCCTTGGTCCCAGTCCCCCGAAGGAGAGGACCCGGTGTAGTCGCACTTTCTTAGCACTTCCAGTCCCCTACACCGAGCTCCCGAACTTTGACCTGAACTTCGGTAGTGGCACGCGCGAAATTCTCGCGAACAGTTGTTACAATTCTGTGTTGGGCCACTTGTTCACCTCGAACGCCTGCTTTCTCGTAGTCATGCTGGACTCGCAACACACGAACCTCCCAAGTTTGGGGAATCCAGAGCGAAACAAAGCATGGGTTTATGTTTGAGGTGCTCTGCACGATGACCGGGGCGCTTGGCATTGCAGGAAAGCTCCTTGGAGGAGGAGATCAGATTACTGCGAGGGAAGAGAAGCTACATGTAGTATTCCCCAGAATTCCTTAACATATGCATGTCTTCTGTAGTGTACCATGCTGTACCCAAGACTTATTCTAACTCTTCATCAAGGCACCTGCACGATGGGCTCTTCGAGAGGGAAGGTCTCCTCTTCATTTCAGGCCTCTCCGACTCGACCCTAGCAGCTAGCACCTACCCTCCAGGATTTGGAAAGTATAGGGTTTAGGGTTTTAGGGTTTAGGGTTTAGGGTTTTAGGGTTTAGGGTTTAGGGTTTAGGGTAGGGTTTCAGAATCTCATGACGGTTTCAATTGTCCGAATTGCGGGTTCTACGTGCCCGGATTGGGGTTACTATACTCATACTCATTTCATAATGACTGCTCCCCACACGTAGGCGAGTGCGAAAGAACGAGCCTCAGATGTCTAAACCCCGTCAGTCCAACAGTCTAACCCCGAACCTGAAACCCTAAACCCTAAACCCTATAGACCCCAAGACGTTCCAAATTCGAAGGCTAGAGCCTAAACCCTAAAGCCGAAACCCTAAACCAACAATGACCACACAAAACTAAACTCCAACCCCACGCCCTGAAGCCCAAACCATGAACCTGGTAGCTCAACTCGCCTGGCAATAAACTACAACATGCTACAATAGACCATAATGAGCTATACGTAATGAAGTATAATATACTATACCGTAGTTGTGATATGCTTTGGTGCACCATATCTCACATATTATTTTACGTATATTGTAATTTATTGTAGTGTACTATAGCCTACTATAGTTGACAATCGTATATCAACCCTCCCCCCCCAAAAAAAAGCGCCCTAAACCCTAAACCCTAAACCCCTCCCCCCCGAAACGGCCCTCTTCGAGGTTTCCCACTGGACCTCCGGGGGATCCCGCGCCCACGGATGCACCTGGGCTCTGGGGCTCGGGGCTCGTAGTGGAGTATAACAGGTTTAGGGTTTTCTTTGGGGGATTATAAGGGTTTATAGGGTGTAGGAGGGTTTACATAGAAGGGTTCATAAGAGTGTATGAGGGTATATAGGGGCTTAGACGCGTTCTTGAGTATACAAAATAGAGTAAAGCTTATGAGCTCTTTGGGGCTCTTTGGGGCTCTTCGGGGTTCGGGTGCGCACATGACTGCAGGGCATTGACCAGGCACCACCCGCCGCCACCTCCGTACATCACTGGCAGTGCTCGTGGTCAGTATGACTCGCAGTTTAGACTTTCATGAATTATTGGTCTAAGTTAGCTATAAGTTATACGTCGTGATACTTCCCGGATGCGAACATGCACAGGATTCGTCGTAAGAGGAGCTCCTACGACTTGCTTGCAGGCACTAGACTACGACCGCGAGCTGCTCACGGTGGGCTGGGTGGTGCTTTGGCAGCGTTGGTTGCGAGAACCGGGGCCGCTCGAGCTCCTTACAACTTGTGTGTATGGATACGTGCTGAGTCCTAGAAGTTCAAATTCGATGTAGCGCGCTGCTACCCATGACATCCCAACGCGCGATGCGTGTTTACATATTGCCTATTGCCCGTCTTTGTGGTGTGGAAGCGAAGCAGTCGGCGTGTGAGGATGCGTGCCGAAAGAACAAAACACTCTTCGGAAAACGCTCCCTTAAACGTGTCTACGGCAGCATCTTTCTTGAATTCCAGAAGGAGCTTACCTTCTGGTTCTTCATTATTAGTCTTAGTGCATATGCTGCAACAATGTCATCCTCGTGTCGTGACGAATTTACAGACCAAATCTGCAGATTCCCTGCTCTGAGCAGAACGCTTGTGCAGCGGGCGCATGGTTCTGCATCGCTCAACCAAAGTACATGCTTCGCATGACATGTTGCATCTTAGGGCTTTAGGGTTACTACCCAAGGGTTGTTGAAGGGTTCTTTGTAAAGAGGCACAGTACTGTTCCATAAGCGGCTGCTGGGGCGAGCATCCTGGGTATTTAACGAGTCTTGTTATAAAGAGGCTCAAAAACGGTTTGGCGTCCGAGCCCTAGGTGGTTTAAGATCTGAACCCCAATCCCTAAACCTCTGTGCCATGAGCTACTAAGGATGCTGAACTCCAACCCCTGAAAACCCCACCTAGCCCTAAGCACTAAACTTATAAACCCTAGCCCTCTCCATGCCCTAAGACCCCCAGAAGCGTTAACACCCAGGCTCTCATTATAAACCCAAAACCCCCAAAAAACCCTCCGGACTCCCGGCAGACGGAAAAAGGCGTCGACAACATAAACCCAAAGCCCTGACAGAGTTGAGAACCCTAAACCCTAAACCCTAAACCCTGAACCCTGAACCCTAAACCCTAAACCCTAAACCCTAAACCCTGAACCCTGAACCCTAAACCCTAAACCCTAAACCCTAAACCTAACACCCAGGACCTTCTGCTGGGCATGTGTGGTGGCATTATCGCCTTCCACCGCCTCGGACGCCTTCTCTCGTTTGCTTTAGGTATGGGTTTAGGGTTTAGGGTTTAGGGTTTAGGGTTTAGGTTGCTGTATGAGGGTTTCAGGATTTCTAGGGCCTCTAGGGTTTAGGATCAAGTTTTGGGTCTTAGGTTACAAGGTTCAGGGTTTGTGGCTTGAGGCTTAAGGTTCGAGCATTTCAGATCCACAGGCTTGGCTTGAGGGTTTTGGGTTTCGTGGCTCTGCGCAGTTGTTGGTGTGCTACAGTTTCATGATGCAAGGTGCTTTTCAGTTGACATAGCTCCCTTTCTCATGCCCTGCTTAGGCAAAATTAAGTATCTCGAAGCTGTACAGTTGAATCTGGCCTTTGGCAAAAGGAAGCTCGGTGCAGCTTCGAATGGACGGCGGCAGCCACCGCGTGTCCGTCTTCACCTGTGCTCTTTTCTGCTCCTCGGCTCGTGATTTTGGTTTGTATTGCGTCTCCTTTCATCGAGTTGATGATGAGTCAACTCTGCGAAAACCGTTTAGAGGCATCGCAGTTTGGGGGTGTTGTTGCTGAAACCGAAGCCTAATGATATAGAAGCCTCAATCATTACTAATATTTTTCTTTGGGGTCCATATGATATTCATATCGTATACTATACCGGCCAGACCGCAAATCAGTAGCAAGATTATTCCTCAGGGCTCCTCCTTACATTCATAGTCATAGTTTACTATAGCCCCTTACACTCCTTGATTCTTTCGCTCCGAAGAGGTGGGGGCCTCTTCCTTTCCGGTGTGCCCATCGGCTACCTGATCCCCACATGGTTCTTGGGAGCACTCTTTATGAATAGCTCCATAAGCCTCGTGGAGGATGCGCTGCTTTCCTACCGTCATCTTCCCACCTCGAAGGTGTCCTTGGCTGGCGTCCGGCTACCCTCTCCTGAGTACGGTATCACCCTCGCATGCATTGCTGTTGCCGTGGTGTGGTCGCCTTTCGCAGGCATTGGTACTGGACTGGCACTCAGCATCTTCGAGTTCTTGTGGCAAAGCTCGCAGAGCACTCCAGTGAGTGGCGTGAGCTCCGGGCACCTGAGCATGGGTCGTACGAAGCGCCCTGTTTGGGAGCTTCGTGTCCTACGAAAGGAAGGAGACCGAATTGTTTTGCTCTTCCTGCAGGGTCGGCTTTTCTTCGGCTCTGCTGAGCAAGTTTCGCAAGTCTTGAACACCGCCACCGACGATGCCGCGGGCCGCCTGAAGTACTGCGTGTTGAGTTTTTCACGAGTGATTGACATCGACGCATCTGCCGCCAAGCAAGTCAAGACCTCCGTGTCTCGGCCCGGTCGAAGCCCTTGAAGTACACGATTTTTTCTAGGAGTCCTCAAAAATCATGTCCGGATACATTCCGGCTCCGGCTTACTACAGACGTAGTTTCTGGCTTTTTGGCCTCGGGCAGGTGGAGAAGGCCTTCCGCAGTGGCGTCCACGTCTTCTTCAGCCGAATGTCGCCAGACGTCTTCCAGGAGTTACCCAACTCGACAAACTTGCAACGCCTCGCAAGAACTTCTTTAGAAATGTCACACCGCCTCTCATTGTCACAGCGCATGTTCGGCACCCCCCAATCCTGCAACCCAACATCTGCAGCTTCTTGGGGCATGCTGCTTAGTTTAGTGCAGTGGAAACCCTGTTCAGTTGCGATGTTACGGCTACCGCTGCCGCCACTGCTATTGCTACCAATACTCCTACTCCTAGTCCTGCTTCACGGTACCCCTGAGGAGCTCTCCATGGCTGGAGCAATCAAGTCACCTGACCCCGCCCTGCGCCAGGCTGACCAAAGTTTGCTGAAGGTTTCTGGTTTGGATTTTAATGGTTGAGTTATTATTAGTATTCGCAGTGGTGGTCTAGAGACATGATGCCAGCTGTAGCTGCTGGTCCGTGGCTCGTAAAGCCTGTCTTTTCTTGGCTTTTCAGAGGGGTGCTTCGTGCTGTTGGGTTGAGTTTGAGTGTTGCGACATGTCCATTGTTGCAGCAGACATGTTGAGGACGGACGGCAAGCATGTCGGTCTACATGTCGGTATGTCATGTAAGCTGTCCGGAAGCCTCAAAACGCAGAATGCAGAATTCCGCTGGCAGAGGTCCTCCAAGACCGCGGCGTAGACATCGCCACCGAAGAGCTTAAGATGTTTGAGGACTTCGACACGGACTTGGATGCCGAGTCCTGCCAGGGAACCAGTGGACGGCGCCCGGACGTAAACTTGCACTTTTGATTCTTCCGGTGTTGAAGTTTTGCCATGTTTTATGTCGAAACCTCTGTGAGGCTGCACCGACGGATGACATGCAACTTCCGCCCATTGGGCGCAGGTGCATTTGATGCGTTCGACACCGAGTCCGATGCCTTGGCACCTGGGCATTTGTTCGGCGAGTGATAAGGGACATTGGGGACTTGCAATCAGCTGAGAAATGTTATGTTCATGTTATACCATGTTATATCATAACATACTATTCTATACTACTATACCACATCGAGGTTGCTTGCTTCTGCTTTTGTTTTACCTGGTTCTCCCGTCATGATGAGGGACTCGCCATGACTGCTGTCAAGTATTCTTCTGTCGGTACTTATGCAAGGCGAAGTTGAGACCCAAAAAAATCAGAAGCAAACTAACAAGCCTGAAATGTAGGGTTCAGGGCCCATCTGTTGCTGTCACCCAGCTTTGCTTGCCCCCAAGGACTATTGCAACGATTTGCTGCTGGGAGAGTGCTTCGGCCGCAAGATGGGGCTACTATAGGGATCTGAACGGGAGAGGGGTCAAGAAAAAATTTAAAAAGGATCAAAAAAAATTACGACTTACAAGGCAATTTGTTGCTTTCCAGGCTTAGTGGCTTCCGGCTTCTTGGTTTCTCGACTTCCTAGCTTTTCGGCTTCCCAGCTTGTTGGCTTCTCGGCTTCCCAGCTTGT